ATATGAAGACTACTCTAGAAGGAATCAATAGTAAATTAGATGAAGCAGAGGATCAAATCAATAATTTGGAAGACCAGGTAGTGGAAAACACCTATAAAAACAACAACAAAAAAAAAGAATCCAGAAAAAAAAAAAAAAAAATGAGGATAGTTTAAGGGGCCTCAGGGATCAAGCGTGCCAACATTCTCATCATAGGGACCCCAGAAGAAGAGTGAGAGCAAGGGATTGAAAACCTATTTGAAGAAATAAGGATGGAAAACTTTCCTAACTTGGCAAAGAAAATATACATACAAGTCCAGGAAGCCAGAGAGTCCCAAATAAGATGGGACCTACATAAGAAGGAGCTCTCATAAGACTGTCAGCTAATTTCCCAACAGAAACTATGCAGACCAGAAAGGATTGGCACAAAATATTCAAAGTGATGAAAAGCAAAAACCTACAACCAAGATTACTCTACCCAGCAATGCTGTCGTTTAGAATAGAAAGACAGCTAAAGAGCTTCCCAGACAAGAAAAGCTAAAGGAACCCATCACCACCAAACCAGTATATGGTGATCAAGATGATTTGACTTTGGTGGGCACACCAAGCAACATACAAATCTTCTAACATAAAAACCCACACCTGAAACCTATGTGATCATATTAACCAATGTAAATCCAATAAATCTAATTTAAAAAAAAAACAAAAACAGTCCTGGTCGGTTTGGTTCAGTGGTTGAAGTGTTGGCCTGCGGACCAGAGAGTCCTGGGTTCGGTACCCCTCTAGGGGCACGTATCAAAAAAAAGAAAAAAAAAAGAAAAATAACAGTATTATAAGGAAAAAAAAGATCAAATATATGAATAATAAAATAGCAATAATTACATACCTATCAATAATTACTTTAAATGTAAAGTAATCAAAAGACATAGGATGGCTAAATGGATAAGAAAACAAAACTCACCCTGGCCGTTTTGCTCAGTGGTTAGAGCATCAGCCCGAGGACCAGAGAGACCTAGGTTCGGTTCCCGCTAAGGGCACATACGTACCTTGGTTGCAGTTTGTCCCCAGCCCTGGTGGGGTTGTGTGGGTGGTGGCCAGTCGATGTGTCTCTCTCACATCAATGTTTCTCTCTCTCTCTTCCTCCCTCTCTCCCTCCTGCTCTATCTGAAATACAGAAATGTCCTCGGGTGAGGATAAACAAAAAAGAAAGAAAGAAAAGAAAACAAGACCTATACATAATGTTGTCTATGAGAGATTCACATCAGACTGAAAGACACACAGACTGAAAGTAAAGGGATGAAAAAGATATTTCATGCAAATAGAAATGAAACAAAAGTTGTGTTAGCAATACTTATACTAGATAAAATAAACTTTAAAACAAAGGTTGTAACAAAAGACAAAGAAGGACCCAGCAATTTCACTTCTGGGTATTTATCTGAAGAAATCCAAAACACTAATTCAAAAGACAGATGCATCCCATGCTCATTGCAGCTTTATTTACAGTAACTAAGATATGGAAGTAATCTAAGTGTCCATCAAGTGGATAAAGAAGATGTGGTACATATATACCATAGAGTATTACTCACCCATAAAAAATAATGAAATCTTGCCCTAGCCAGTTTGGCTCAGCAGTAAAGCATCAGCCCACAGATCAGAGTCTCGGGTTCAATTCCAGTCAAGGGCACGTACTTTGGTTGCAGTTCGGTCCCCAGCCCTGGTCAGGGTCATGTGGGAGGCAACCAATCGGTGTGTCTCTCTCAAATCAATGTCTCTCTCTCTCTCTCTCTCTCACTCACTCATTCTATCTGAAGACAAAGAGGAAAAAAAGTATCTTCAAGTGAGGATTAAAATAATAATAATAATAATGAGGATTAAAATAATAATAATAATAATAATAATAAATGCAATGTTAACATTTGTGACAAATGAATGGACCTAGAGGATACAATGCTAAGTGAAATTAGTCAGACAGAGAAAGACAAATACTATATGATTTCACTTACATGTGGAATCTGAAAAATAAAGTGAATGAACAAACAAAACAGAGATAAACTCAGATACAAAGAACAAATTGATGGTTGCCAGATGGGAGGGAGTTTTGGGGTCTGGGTGAAAAAGGTAAAAAGGAGTAAGAAGTACAAATTTCCAGTTACAAAAATAGTCATAAGTATGTAAAGTACAGCATAGAGGACACAGTCAATAGAACTTTAATAACTATGTATGGTGTCAGATGGGTCCTAGACTTATCTGGGAGATCACTTCATAAGTTATATAAATCTCTACTCATTCATTTGTACACCCCAAAATTAATACAGTATTGTGTCAACTGTAATTTTTTTAATGTTTTAATATATTTTTTAAATTTTTTTACTGGCTGGGCTTAACAGCAGATTGAAGAAAAAATGGGGCAGTAAATTTGAAGACAGATAAATAGAAAAAAATTTTTGAAAAAAAAATATCCCTCAGTTTGCAGTGGTCTAACCTATGTCCTTGGAGTCCCAGAAGAAAGGAGAAAAGTGGAGCAGAAAAAAAAAATTTTTTTTTTAAATAATGTCCTAAATATCCTGAATTAAGAAAGCAAGGCACAGACTATATCCAGAATATATAAAGAACTCTTACAAATTATTAACAAGGACTAACAACCTGATAAAAAATGGTCCGAATACTTGAGCAGATGCCTCACAAAGCACACATGTCCCACAAGCCCATGGAAAGGTGCCCATCATCATTGGTCTTCAGAGATTCTCAAACTAAAACTACAGTGAGGATCCATTTCACACTCTTCATGACAGTTGAAATCCAAAAGACTGATAACACCAAATTCTGACAAAGAGGTAGAGAAATTGGGCCCTGGCCGGTTTGGCTCAGTGGTTAGAGCGTTGACCTGCGGTCCAGAAAGACCCAGGTTCGGTTCCCACTAAGGGCGTGTACCTCAGTTGCAGTTTGTCCTCGGCCCTGGTTGGTCATGCAGGTGACAGCCACTCGATGTGTCCCTTTCACGTTGATGTTTCTCTCTCTCTTTCTCTCTCTCCCTCCCACTCTATCTGAACAAAAAATGGAAAAATGTCCTCGGGTGAGGATAAAAAAAGAGGTAGAGAAATCAGGACTCGTACAGTGCTGGTGGAAGTATCACAAAACAACTTGGGGAAATTGTTTGGCAGTTTTTATAAAAGCAAACATACATTTAGCGTACAACCCAGCAATTCCACTCCTACGCATTTCTGAAGAGAAATGATAACATGTCCACAAGAAGACTGGTTCAAAAATGTTTATAGCAGCTTTATTTATTATAGCCCCAAACTGTAAATACCCCAGAGGCCATGGGTAAGGGAATGTAAAAGCCAAATAGTGTATCCACACATTGGAGATCTACTCAGCAGTAGAAACACACTCAACGGCATAGATGGATCTTAAAGACATCATACTGAGTAAAAGAGGGCAAACACAAGAGGGTACGTACTATAAGAACAGGCAAAATCAATGTTTGGTGATAGAATTTAGACCAGATCGAATGTAGTCCATGGAGGGTGGGAAGAGGGATCGACTGGAAGGAAATTGCAGAGAACGCGAACATTCAGTATCCTGACCGGGAGGTAATTACAGGGCTGCGTACATTTACCAAAACTAATGGGATGATGAGGGAAAAGGGAGAAACATCTGTAATACTTTCAACAATAAAGATAAATGTTTTAAAAACAAATGGAATGATGCACTTAAGATCCATGCATTTTGCCTTTTTCTTTAATTTAATAAAAAGGAAACATTTTAAAGGTGATCTCCAGTTCCGACACTCAAGCAAGCCCCCTAAGCCCATCTCTGCCCTTCCTGGCTCCCGACTGCCCCCTGACGACCGGGAGGGAGGGAAACTGGAGAGAGGATGGACCAAAGCAGAGGGGGCAGGAGGGCATCACCTGGATGAGGCCAGGGCCAGAGAACTGTTTGTTTGGGTTTGAGCTAGAGCCAGTTTTTTGTAGAAACTAACCTTTTCCCCCCACTCCTCCCCTGGTGTCCCTTCCAACATCTAACTCCAATTTCCAAAGTGCAAGAAAAGCCAGAAACAAGTGAAGGGAATAAGAACAGCTCCTGAGCCAACTGTAACATTAAGTATTTTCCAAAGACTTAAACCTGAGTCTGTGGACCAGACACTCTGCAGAACTACGGAGACCAGGGCAAATCCTACTGTTCCCTGGGCCCAGCCCCACCTGCTAAAAACACGCTCACGACCTCACAGCGACCATATGCAAGAGATGCTATGGTTAACCCCGACTTACAGATGAGCACTCTGATGCTTAGAAAAGTGGGGTGACTTACACCAGCGCACACAGCTGAAATCCAGATCCGTCTGACGCCCAGCTCATGCCCTTAGCCACTGTATACACTACCTGACGCTCTAATTTATGCAAATTCAACCGAAACCTGAAAGATGGCAGCTTTGAAAGGAAAAAAAGAGTTGTAAAGGGTGACATGGCCCTGGGAGGGGTGTAGTGGAGAGAACAATGACCCCACTATCCCTCCGCTATTATTCAAGAGAGGGAGGGTTATAGGTGGATCGGACACATATGAGATCCTGATATCAGCACCACCTAGATTCCCTCCAACTGTACACATATTCAGCTCTGGTCCCATATGAAGCCAGGAGTCCGTCTACACCTGCTCTGTCCAATACAGTAGTCACGAGCCCCACTAACTCTCAATTTAAATTTCTCTTAACTAAAGTTTGAAAATCCATTTTCTCACTTGCGCATATCAAGGCTCAGTAGCCATACGTACCTAGCGGCCACTTTATGGGACAGCACAGAGGTAGCCTTTGGTCCTTCAGTCAGGCCACTCCCAAAGGCTGCGGTTTGCTGGGCCTGCGGTGACTCTGCCTGTGGTGTCCACCAGCTGAGGCATGTTGGTGCTGGTCGGGGAAGGGAACAGAGGCGACGGAGATGATGGAGCCCAAGGGTGTTAGGCAAGGAGCTGGGTGGCCTGGTCGGACACTCTCCTCTCCAGCAAATACCCTTTCTTTTCTCTTTCAGAAGAGAGTTCTTTTTCTGACCAATGACTACTTCTTCACGGACATCAGTGACACACCTTTCAGGTGAGGGGCACGTGTTTTATTTGCAGGGTAGAACTTTCAAGTCGGGTTGGATTTACTCATAGTTAGTTGGCAATTCTGCAGTAACAGAAAAAGACACAGGTCTATATTCAGGAAATTTGAGAGGTCTAGACCTGCTTTGCCAGTGTAGCCCAGTGTGCAGTGTTTGGAACCAAACTTCCTGGTTTAAATCCCAGCATCATCACTTACAGGCTGTGTGACCTTTATCAAGTTACTTAACCTGTCTGTGCCTTAGATTGCTCATCTGTAAAATGAAGGTAGTAATAGCAGCTACCTTTTGGCGATCTTGTGAGGATTGAATGACATAATCTACCTAAAGATCTTAACACATGCAATGTAAGCAATTGCTAGATGGAAGATCAAATTTGAAGATCTCCTAGGTTCCTTCCAGCTGTATCAATATTTAACTCCAGTAGATATACAGATTAAGAAACAAATAGCTCTTATCTCTGAATTATCTCATTTCTCAATAAAACCTGGTTCCCAGCTCTGACTGCTCATTAGACTACCTGAGGAATTTTATAAAATGGCCAATGTCCAGGCCCCATCCAAGCCAATTCACTCAAAATGCCTGGGATTGGGCCCAGGCGCTAGTAGCTTCGAAAGCTCCCTCGGTGATTCAGATATTTGGCCAAAGTTCAAAAGCATTCGACCAGGAGAGAGGGGAAGTCATGGTGGGATTCACCAGGTGGGAAAGGACTCTTGTTTTGGGGGTCCTGTGAGACCTGGAGACCTTTCTACATTTCAGGGGGGTTCTGAGAGGTTCAGAATCTATCTTGATTAAAATAGGAGCTGAAATAAATCAGCCTTACTCTCTACATTTTTATTTTAATCACTGTCAACTTTAATATTTTATTCAAAGTTATTTATTCTGTTGAATGAGCATGGCATTTTCTAATTACTACTAATAACTACAACACCAGTAAATATTGAATGCTTACTCTTGCCAGACACTGGTCTAGGTACTTCATGTGGATTGGCCCCTTTAATGATTTCAGTAATCCTACAAGCACTGTGGATTGACTGCATATCATTAGGTTTGGTTGCAAAAAAAATAGAATTTTTGAATATTAAAAAATGTAATAATATAAGCCCTGGTCAGTGTGGTCCAGTGGTTAGAGTGTCATCCCATGCACTGCAGGGTTGTGAGTCTGATTCCCGGTCAAGGGCACATACTTGAGTTGCATATTCAGTCCCCTGCCCCGGTCAGGCACATTCGAGAAGCAACTGATCGATGTCTCTCTCTCACATAAATGTTTCTTTCTCTCTCTCTCTCTCTCTCTCTCTCTCTCTCTCTCTCTTTCCCACCTCCTGCACCCCTTCTACTCTCTCTAAAAATCAGTGGAAAAAATGTCTTCGGGTGAGGATTAACAAAAACATTTTGTTTCATAAAATAGGAGCTGAGGCCCTGGCCAGTTTGGGTCAGCGGTTAGAGCGTCGGCCCATGGACCAGAGAGTCCCGGGTTCAGTTCCCGCTAAGGGCATGTACCTCGGTTGCAATTTGTCCCTGGCCCCGGTTAGGGTCATGTGGGTGGCAACCACTCGATGTTTCTCTCTCTCTCTTCCCCCCTCTCTCCCTCCCGTTCTATCTTAAGATATATGCAAAACTGTCCTCAGATGAGGATAAAATAAATAAATAAATAAATAAATAAATAAATACAGCAGGAGCTGAGGGGAATCTGTGGCGTTATAGGATTCCCAGGGTCCTTTCCAGGAAGAAGGGCTGATATGGAAATAGAAGTGCTCCTTGGCCCTGGGGGGGATGACCTGGGAGGCTCTGTCATGGGGGTGGAAGCTCATAAACTCAGAGCTGGTGCAGGACAGGACATGGGCTGGGATGCTGACTTGCACTTGCCGTTGACGAGGACGTGGGTTCTCTGCTCCCCCCACAGTCTGGGAGTGGTGCTGTCCCGGGGCCATGGAGAATACATCTTCCTGGGGAACACATCTGTGGAAGAAGGTAGGTTGGCGCCAAGTACTGATGGACAGTTTAGAGGGGAAAGGGGTGCTCCTGGGATACTGCGCAGGGCTACCCGAGCCAGAGCAGGTTTGGCGTCCTCCAGGTCTCGGGCTGCAGAGCAGACTCTCAGCGCCCGGCTGCCGGGAGGAGGGACCTGTGTGTCCCGGGCACCCTGGGTGCGCTGGGTCTGCCGGTCAGCCGTCCAATCCGACAGCGCCTGAGACGAGCCAGCTTTGCCTTGTCAGAGTCTGGAGGCCTTGCTGGCTCGAGGGCCGGGCCTCAGGGGGGCTGGGTCTCACCTGTCAGAAGACTACACAGCAGGCAGAGAAAGGAGGCCAGGGAGAATCAGAAAGCAAATCAGTCACAGTTCGCTCCGGCTGCGGCAACCAAGTGCCGCAAACGGGGTGTCCCCAGCAAGAGAGACTTATTCTGGGGGCTATGCTCCCTCCAACACCTCTCTAGCTCCCGGGCACCCCGGCGGTCCTCGGCTCGCACTGCCGTCTTCAGCCCCGCCTCCGTCATCTCGTGGTTGCTCGCGTTGTGTGTCCTTATTTTCCCCCTTATAAGGACACCAAGCATCTTGGATTAGGGGCCACACTAATGACCTCATCTTAGCTTGATTACATCTGCCAAGACCCTATTTCCATATAAGATCACACAGGTACTAGGGGTTAAGACTTCAACATATCAGTTTGGGGGACACAATTCAACCCATAACAGGGTGCTTATGGGAAGGGAACCTGAGAGAGGTGGAGGGAAATGTGGGGGGAGGATGGCAGAGAAGGGCCCCACCCTCCTCAGCAACTTGCTCATGATTGGCAGCTGCCTGAGCACCTTGAAGAACAGAACCTATATCCAGGGCCCAGGGATATCTCAGGGCGTCCTTGGGAGATGTGGTCACAGCTCTGTTCAACGCCCACGTTCTGTCCATTCTCCCCTTACGATCCCGTGAACGTATCTTGTCCCCCCTGTCTGCCACCGCCCCGGTCACCGGCTCCTCTATCCTGATAACCACAGCAGCCTCCAGCTGCTCTCTCTGCCTCTTCCTGTCTGCGAACTTCTTTCTACCAGACAGAACTTTCTAGAAATGCCAAATTGGATTGTGTTGCTGCTAGCGGATCTTCAATGACCTTCTGCTTCTTGTCATTTCCCCCCACATCGAGCTTTGAGGTCTTCCCATACGCCGCCCTCTCCCCAAAGTGTTGTCCTCTCCAGCCCACCCCCCCTCTTATCCCAGCCAATCCAGACCCGCTCTTCAGGCCCCCGTGTGACGTCACTTTTCTGGGAGCTGTCCCAGGAGCCCCTTCTCCACGCACAGGCTGGGTAGCACGCGCAGCTATGTGCTCCCGCGTCCCCTGCATTCGCCCTTTTACGGCATTTGTCCTGACATTGGGACACTCTCCCATTTGTCACTGGTTCCAAAACAAGCTTCCTAGGCCTCCGTGGTGTCTTCCTCTCTCCTGTGCGTATCTTCCTCTACCCAGATATGCCCATCTTCATTGTTGCAGGGGACAGAGGGTGCTACCCTTACCCTCTGTGGACTCAGCTGGGCTCCCTGGGCTGACTGTGGGGAGAGGCGTGTCTCCCTTTAACTATTTGCCTGCATCTGTGTCTGTCCAGAGCCTCTTGTCCAAAGCCTCTTGGCATTTCCATCATCCTTGCCTTCAATTTGACAAACCTTAACTGAGCACCTATTTATTTTTTAGCACCGAGGGTGCTCAGTAGGGTGCCTTTTCATTCATTCAACAAATATGTACTGAGCCCATGTCCGTGTAGGTGCTGTACCGGGCACGAGGCTACAGAGATCACACGCAACAGACATGGCCCATCTCTGGGCTTATCTTTCAACTGGCCATTTAGCTCAGTTGGGTACAATGAAGCTGCAATCACTGGTTCCAAAGGATTAGCTCCCTCAAGGGAGACCGCATGGGTAGGGTTTGGGCATGAGACAATGGGGAGAAAGCATTTCAGGAAGCCGCAGCCCTGTCCTCCTGGGTGAGCGCTGCTCTGAGCTGAGAACAAGAGACAGGAAACGCACCCCTTCCCTGAAGAAGCTTCCTGGCAGTTGTGTCTAAACAATTCCAGTGCGCGTCCTCACACCGGGGCGAACACCGTACTGAGTGTGGGCTCTGGTTTCAGGCCTGCACGACCTGCTGCACCCGGATCTGACCCTGGCCAGCGACTGGTGAGTGGGCCAGCCACTGCGGGGAGGAGAGGGAGGAGAGGGACGGAGGGAGGGAGGCAGACTTTTTTGAGGTAACCTTGACTCCCCTGGGTTCCAGGATCTACTGCATCACGGATATCGACCCCGATCACCGGAAGCTCAGCCAGCTGGAGGCCATGGTCCGCTTTCTGAAAGGGGAGGACCCAGACCTGGAGTGTGCGTGCTGCCCACCCTCCGGGACCCTGCAGCTCAGGACTTTGCGGGAAGGGAAGGCAGGGGGTGGGGGAGGGCTGCCAAGTAGCTCTTAGCGCTGACAGGGAGACTTCCCGAGACAAAAGCAGAGCCAGGCTCGCAGTGGGCCAAGCTGGTGACTCCGCGTCCCAGGGGCTGTGGCAGATGAGCATGCCCGTGTCAGGGGCTGGCATCTCCGCGAGCCTTTCCCCCGAGCACTGCTAAGGCTCCGAAGGGACAGTCACACGGTGTGCGGGCCTCAGCCTGACCATCCGCTCTGTCCCACACCACCTGGCAGTGGCCCCGGGCCGGCAGCTGGTGCTCCGAAGTCCTCGTCTCCGCAGAGGAGAGCACGGACCAGAGCCCGCGGCCTGTGGGTGTTTTCTGACACCTGGTTCTCAGACTAACCTTAAATTCCCCTCCACGAACTCAACTGGGAAATTATAGGGCCACACCCTCATCATTGCACTTCTTTCTCTTTGGAAGAAGGAGCAGGTCATTTTGTCAGCTTAGTGTCACCGCCAAGAGAAGATTCCACCTTCCGTGCTGTCCCGACGTTCATTCCATGAACAAATCTGTACTGAGCACGTGCTCTGTGCCAGGCCTGAGGCGGCACTGAGGCCACAGAGATGCCCCGACAGGCAGGCCCTTGCTCTCACGGAGCCTGTAACTGCGTGGGAACCACACGACGAAGAAGCAAGCCTACACATGAGGGGGAGGTGATCACAGGAGAGGAGAAACGGGGCCCGCTTTCCACGGACGGCCAGGGAAGGCCACCGCTGTCACACTGCCACTCCCCACCCAAGTGGCTCCGTGGCTACAGGATCTCTTTGGGTGGTGACGAAAATGTCGTGGAACTAGACAGAGGTGATGGCTGCCCATCACTGTGCACGTACAAAATGCCGCTGAATTGCATACTTTAAAGCAGTCGGTTTTATGTTACATGAATTTCACCCCAATAAAAAGAAATACTTTAAAGAGAGGGAGGGAAGAGAAAGAGCCACCCTTGGAAAGAGCACCCTGACCAGGGGAACAGCATGTGGGGAGGCTCGGAGGCACGTCCCCATCCCGGCCTGCGGAAGGCCAGCCTGCGCGGGGGCGATGGCCACGGAGCAGGGCCGTGAGTGGGAGGGAGCGCAGGCCAGGCCCAGAAGAAGGTCTGGTCACTGAAGGATCCTAATTTCACAGAGCATTAGAACTAGAGAGAGCCATAGAAATCATCCTGTTCTCTCACATGTTCGGGTTGAGGAAATGGAGGCTGAAGAGGTGCAGTGACATCCTCAAGTCCACGCCGGTGGTGTCCCGTGTCCCACACACAGGCTTACAAGGGCGCTGTGTTCCTGGAAGCCCAGCCTTCCTCAAACGGCAGCTGAGCTGTGTCGATAATCAGGGAAATAAGGGGTTGCTCTCCTTTGGCTTTGCGCCCAGGTGACGAGGAGCTGGTGCGGGAGGTGCTGTTTGACGCGGTGGTGACGGCCCCCATGGAAGCCTACTGGACAGCGCTGGCTCTCAACGCCTCTGAGTATGTACCGGGGGCTGAGGGCTCCGGGAGGGAAAGAGGTTCTGGCCCCTGGCATTCCCTGGGTTGAGTCAGAGTGTCTCCCACTAGCTGGCTGGCAGCTCCCATCACCCACGTCCTTTGGCCCAAGAAGAACGGTGATGAGGGTGGAAAGACACAGGGAGTGAGAGCAACACTCACACAGCCCAGGTGGACCAGGGGCTTCTCAGAGCTCCGCACACAGCACGGCTGCTGCCCGCTCTCCCCTCGGAGAAACACCCTGAGCAGCTCCCGGTCACGGGGCCAAGTCCCCAACCCACACCGCAGAAGCCCCATCCCAGGAACCCCTCTCGGAGTTGGGGTCTCCCTGTGACAGCCCACTAGTCAAAGTGGCTGGAGAGCAGTTCAAGCAGGTCAGTGCCTTGTCTCCAGCAGGTGGGGTCAAGACACCATGAAGTACAAGCTTGACCTCAGAATGTCCTCACTGCTTCTGCTGATCTTTACCTGGAGCTGTTGTGTTTAGTGGACAGATAGAAAGAAGAGAGGGCCCTGGCCGGTTTGGCTCAGTGGTTAGAGCGTCGGCCTGCGGTCCAGAGAGACCCGGGTTTGGTTCCCACTAAGGGCAGGTACCTTGGTTGCAGTTTGTCCCCGGCCCTGGTTGGTCGTGCAGGTGGCAACTACTCTATGTGTCCCTTTCACGTCGATCTCTCTCTCTCTCTCTCTCTCTTCCTCTCTCTCCCTCCCACTCTATCCAAAGAAAAAATGGAAAAATGTCCTCAGGTGAGGATAAAAAAAGAAAGAAAGAAGAGAGGAACGGTGTATGTGTGTGTGTGTGTGTGCGCACACGCGTGCTCATGTGGGTGCACTTGTGCGTGCAAGCATGTGAGTGTTGCGAGGTAAGATATTAACGAGGTTGAGAATTCCGTGGGCCACACTTTGTTCTTAAACAGGAAGATTCAACACCAACTTCAGGAAAATGTCCAACCTCCCCATGACACTCAATAAATCAATGAATACAATCCTTTGAAAACACTAACAGAGTTTTATAGGAACAATCGCCTATTGAAAAGATCAAGGTGCAGATTGCTCCGCATGAGGTGCTGCCATTTCTGTGTGAAGAAGGAAACAGGACCATGTGAGCAGATGCAGTGGGGCAACAACAGGTTCACAGGTGTTCCTACGGAAGAGAACACAGTAATTAACAAGTAATGATACAAGAATGAACTCTGTGGCTTGCGTACTCACAACTATAAACCTACGTTTGCCCCACCCTGCATATAAAACATCTATGAAAGTTTGTATCTATGAAACAGTTCCCACTGGTTGTAAAGGTTAGAAAAATGTGTAACTGAAACAGGGATGGAAGAGACACTTTGTAACTTCTTGGTACAATTTTGAACCACGTGAATGAATGTATTACCTGTACAAAATTTAATAAGCTAAAAAATAAAAGAGAATACACTGGGCCAGGTACTATTCTTAGTACCTAGTGTATACGGACGCATTGATCCTCATGACGACCCTCCTATCAGTATAGGTACGATCATTACCCCCACTTTACAGATGAGGAAACCGAGGCGGAGTGAGAAAAGCAACTTGCCCAAGGTCACATGCCTCACAAGTGGCGGAGCTGGACTTAAAACCGGGCAACCTGATTCCAGAGTCTAGCCTCTCAGGTCCTGGGCTGTCCTGCTTCCCACAGAGGGGATTGGAGAGGAGCACGGTCTCACCTTTCCAGGTTCCGAGATGAGCCAGACGCTTTTTTAATGCTGAGAAACAGTGAGGAGCAAATATCTTAACAAGGGTGTTTATCAGAAAAGATGACTTGGAAATAATATAAATAGCATATTAATAAAGCTAAGAGGAAAAATCACATAATCATCCTCAAAGATGCAGAAAAGATATCTGAACAAATATTAATACCCATTCATGTTTTAAAAAGCCACTCAATAAAATTAAAATTAAAATTAAAATTGACTTGAGCGGAAAGGAGAGGGTCAATAAAGGAAAAGGGGGGGATATCTGTAATACTTTTAACAATAAAGATATTAATTAATCAATTAAAATACAAAATTAAAAGTGAATTAAGCTTGCCCTGGCCAGGTGGCTTAGTTGGTTGGAGTGTCATCCCATACACCAAAAAGTTGTGGGTTTGATCCACAGTCAGGGCACCTAGGGGAGGCAATCAATCAATGTTTCTCTCTCACACATCAGTGTCTCTCTCTCTCTCTCTCTCTCTCTCCCAATGTATTTCTGTCTCTCTCTCTCTGTCCCTTCCTCTCTCTCTAAAAATCAATAAAAACATATCCTCAGGTAAGGATTTTGATTTTAATCCTCACCTGAACATACTTCTTTGTTGATTTTCAGATAGAGTGGGAAGGAGGGGTGGGAGGGAGGGAGAGAGAGAGAAACATCAATGTGAGAGAGACACTTCGATTAGTTGCCTCCCGCAAGATCCCAACCAGGGCCGGGGACTGAACTGCAACCGAGGTATGTGCCCTTGACTGAAGCGAACCCGAGACTCTTCAGTCCACAAGCCAACGCTCTAACCGCTGAGCCAAACTAGCCAGGGTGGATGAGGATTCTTTTTTAAAATTGCCTTAAGCTTGAAAGTCAACATGTGAAGGGGGCTAGCAGCTCTCTCAGTAAAGACAGGAACAAGACAGACTCAATGTTCCTACTACTACTTAACAAGGTCAGAAGGTATCTGTTGATGCAACCAGGTGAGAGCACAAACCCAGAAGCAATGAGAAGTAGAAAGGAAGGCATAAACTATCTCTTTTTAAGAAGGTGATTTGTTTACATACCTGTAAGCCTCAAAAGAATTAACAGAAAACTACTATAAGCAATAAGAGAATGTAGTAGAGTAGCAGTTTATAATATGCACACTCAAAAATTAATAGCCTTATGGAATTTAATAAACAAAATGAACTAATAAGCAAAATAGAGACAGAGTCATAGAGAGCAGGCTGACAGCTGTCGGGGGGGTGTTGGGGGTGTGTGGAGGGATTGAGCAAAAAACAGAAAGAACTCATGGATACAACAACAGGGGGGTAATTGCAGGGGGAGGGGCGTGGGTGGAAGTGGAGAAGGGTATGGGGCTTAAATGGTGATGGAAAAAAATAGCTATAGATAAATGGCCTTTACGTATGCAAATAAAAACCAGATACAAGATATGATGTAAGAAGGCCTATTTAGGAGAGCACACTAGAGAACATAATAAGATACCTAGTCATAAACTATAAGAAATATCCCAAAACTCACATAAAGAAAATGATAAATCACTCCTGAAAGACACAGGTACACTTGAACAGATAGAAAGATATTCAGTGTTTTTGGACAGGAAAATTCAACACCACACAAATATTAATCCTCTCTAAATTAATTTCTAAATCTAATGCAATCCCAATACAATTGTCATTAACATTTTTCTGGATCCAGATAAATTGATTATAAAGTACATTTAAAAAAATTGGAAAGAACAGTCAAGAAATCCCTGAAAAAGAAAAGCGACAAAGGAAATTTGGTCCTACCAACATATTAAAACATATTATAAAATCTCTACAATTTATAAAGTGTGGTATTGACTCATGAATAGACAGGCAGACCAAGGGAACAGAATAGTAAATCCACAGATTCACGTAAACGCCTGTGGAAATTTAGTATATGTCAAAGGCATCATATCAAGTCAGTGAAGGAAAGATGGACTTTTTTTTATCCTCGCCAATATGTTCATTGATTTGAGAGAAAGAAGAAGGGGAAGAGAGAGAGAGAGAACATCGATGTGAGAGAGAAACATCGAACCCACCCTTTATGCACCCTGACTAGGGGTTGAACCTGCAACTTAGGTATGTGCCCTGACCGGAAATCACACCCGCAAGCTTTTGGTGTACAGGACAATGCTCCAACCAACTGAGCCACCTGGCCAGGGCGAAAGATGGGCTTTTTAGTAACTGGTTTGAGAGCCATATGGAGAATGATAAAATTGTATTCTTTTCTCACACCTCACACCTAGATAAAGTCCAAATGATTCAGAGATTTAAATGTAAAAAAATAAAATAAAATAAACCATATAAGTACTGGAAGAAAACATGAGCCAAGTTCTATAAAATCTAGGAGAGAGGAAACCTTTCCCAACGATGACTCAAAATTCAGAAGCAATAAGGGAATGACTGACAAATTTGGCAACATAAAAATGTTTATTTAGCAAAAATAAAACCATGAGCAAGGTGAAAAGAGAAATGAACACCAGAAAACAATGTTTGCAACTTGTAAAACTAATAAAAGGTTACTATCCCTGTATTATGTATCCATGATACATAAAGAAATCCAAAAGTAGAGAAGTAAAAGACCAACCACTTTAGGGAAAAAAAATGACCAAGAGGATTCATGCAAATAGTCCTTAAATATATGAAAAAGTTCTCAATAGAGCTTGTAATAAAAGGAATACAAATTCAAACTGTACCAAGATTGTATTTGTCACTTACCAGACTGAAACCCATCTAAGTCTGCTGATGTGCATGGTGGGGTGGCTATAGGGAATCAGGCAATCTAGCATAGTGTCAGTAAGAATACAAAATGTTTCAAACCCTATGGAAGGGAATTTGGCAACATTTAACAAAATTATACATGCATTTATACTTTGACCCAGCAATCCCACTTCTAGGAATGTATCCCCAAAATATACCAGCAAAAATAGGAAAAGATATGCATAGGAGCTGTTCATTACAACATAATTTGGAACAGACTGAGAGCCCAGAAATAAATCCACACATATATGGCTAATTAGCCTACGACAAGAGAAGCAAGAATACAATAGCATAAAGACAATCTCTTCAATAAATGATGTTGGGCAAACTGGACAGATACATGCCAGAAAAATGAAACTAGCCCACTTTCTTATACCATATACAAAAATAAACTCAAAGTGAATAAAGACTTAAATGCACGACTTGAAACCATAAAACTCCTAGAAGAAAACATAAGCAGTACTCTTTGACATCACTCTTAGCTATGTTTTTTTT